TTCCTGCCTCGACGCGCGGCATAGGTGAGTCTTTTCGGATGGATAAGGCTGAATGTGTTCGTTGATGGCCGGGTCCGGCGGAGTCGGCGCCTGGAACGGGCGATTGCACTGAGCCACGGACGGCGGCGGTAGCTTTTCGAACTTGAGCGCGGACCTGGGAAGCATGTCGTTCGGTAAGGTATGCTACTTGCTGAAGGAGGAAATCGACGGGAACTTCGAAGCGATCGGCGCTGCACCTCAGATGAGTATTGCCTGTATGATAATTGTGATAAGATCGACACCTACACTTCGTCCCCTTGTCTAGGTCAGCACCAATAAATATACACGGATTGGTGAATACCTACAGTCTATCTGCTTCTTTGCAGCTCCTGAGAGAATCTTCCATAACGCTTCATCTTTGACGGAGTCCCAGTTTACCTGTCATGCTTATGGTTAGCTCTGCCATGATTGCTCCGATGCGCGCAAGGGCATAGGCATGATGGCTTATGATTGACTGGTTGGGATCAAGAGCTTCATACCGGTGGCGGATCGACGAAATCACCACGGGGCATAGGGACCCGGACGAAAATAGTATATGTTGGCTCGGCCATGGTGCCGCGCTGGCTATTCAAGAGGATGAGTAGATGAAGAAGGTTGAAAGTAGTAGGCAACAAGCCGAAGCTCTAAGTTCATTGAGAGCTGCTGCAGGGATTCCGCGATCGGCTTATCGATAAGTTAGCTGCCGTTTTAGCGTGGTTCAGTGGAGAGTGTGAAACAGCCGAGTATGGCAGATTTGATTCACGAATCCACTTGAAACTCAAGCTTGGAGTTGAAGGTCAGTTATACACTGCAGTAAAAGCAATATTACACATGACTTGACGTTTTTCGTGCCAGAAAATTCTTGATGCACATCCTGCTCATGTTGCTGAATTATGCCTGTTTCAATTCATATACCTATATTGCATTATTTTATTTTTTACCTCTTCTGCCACGTTCATCCGATCGACTAGTGAGTGACACCAGCTCCGATCTGCTTCTTCATTCGTCGTACTCATATCGCTATCACACTTTGCCTCTGTAGATGAACAATCTACTATGGCTTAGCCAACCTCGCTTATGAATCCAATAGATAATCTAGGCCTTCTTTCATATATCTTTCCACTTGTTATCTTTGTGGCATCATAATATCATCATCTTCGTTTTCCATATGTGTACCTGCGTTTAGGGCGACACAAGCAGCACCGAGCCTAAAAGGCTCTTATAGGCGTTGAAGCGCTAGAAGCACCAGTAGTTTTACCACCAGACTCTTACAAGCCTTGATTTATCGTCTCAATGGCTGATGGGATATGATATTTGTTGGCAAGAAAGATGGGACGGAATTTTAGTTTGCTTTAGGGTAGCTTGAGCTGACACGATCATCATGGGCTAACACCTGACGACAAACTGGGAGTATCTGAAACTAGAGATATGGAAATCCAGACTCCGGCTGCCACGGAAAGCTTCTTAAATGGAACGGGCTTATATGAATTCTCAATATCCGTACCTTTATCCGCGCTGTGAGGTGAAAGATCCCAGTTCACGTTAACTAACCAGAGCCGTACTTAGCTTGCCAACGTTACACTCATTGTTACCCTGTAACTGTATACGGATACACTAATAGACGACGGCAGTCTGATTACACCCAAGCGGCACCTGATTTTCAGGTCGAAACACCCTACACGACTCAGAGAAGATGGAATTATCGATGCTTGACTCATGAAAGCCAACATCAAGAGCATGTCCTCAGGACCAACCCCCTCGACCTTACCCAAGGCGGAAAGGGCGCTAAAGGTCTGGTATTGGATGCCCCGCGACTGCTGCCGGGCATGGAAGACACGACCCCGCCGATGTCTTTGCCTCTCAGCTCAGCAGGTACTTGGCTTCTATGGGAATCCATCCAAAAGTCGGAAAGCTTCCCCCATTCAATCTAATCTTTCGCTAGCGGGTGCTTAACCACTTCTATGAAGCCCTCTTTCCGGCAGACCTACTCACATGCCTTTCGTTCGCTTACATCTTCCATCTCACCATCGCTACAGCATCGAGCTATAAGGTAGCTTCGACAAGACCTCAAGATACAGCTCTTACATCATCATATCCATACGTTATCGCTATCGTGGAGGTAAAACAACCACATAGCCCTTCGCTATAACCAGCTCCAACCCTCCCCACCAAAGGCGTGCTTGGTTCCGAGTTACTTTTCCCGCAGCTTGACGACAGCGACAGCAACAGCAACAGCATCGCAATCGGCCATACACCTCTCAAACCAGGTCAAGGCAGCAACATGGTAGCTTCAGAACTCACCGCGTCTGCCATAGCTATGCGCTCTACGCCCGTCAGTGGTGATGAGTCAAGCTCGAGCTTACCAAAACCCCTCGCGCCTTTGCGAAACCGCGCGGCTGCTAGCCAGAGCCCATACATTCGGGGCCAGGCGGAAAGCTTAGTTTCATGGCAGCTCTTGGACGACGAGGCAGTCGAGCGTTCGCGCAAGGAGAACAAGCTTATCTTCATGCATATCGGCTACAAGGCATGCCACTGTAAGTAGCGTGATGATTAGTTTGGAAGCGAATTTTATTTTGCGCTGTGTTGCTAACGGCCACAAGTTTGTCGACTCATGTCGATCGAGACCTTCTCTAACCCAGAGTCTGCCTCTGTATTGAATGAGTCTTTCATACCAGTCATCGTCGATCGAGAGGAGCGCCCCGACTTAGACGCCATTCACATGAACTACGTCCAAGCTGTCAGCAACGTTGGTGGATGGCCCTTGAATGTGTTCCTTACACCCAATTTGGAGCCAGTTTTTGGTGGTACCTACTGGTTCGGGCCCGCAGGACGAAGGCATCTCAGTGACGACAGCACCGAAGAAGTACTCGACTCTCTGACTATTTTTAAGAAAGTTCGTGATATTTGGATCGATCAGGAAGCCCGATGCCGAAAGGAGGCAACCGAGGTTGTTGGCCAGCTCAAGGAATTTGCGGCTGAGGGTACCTTGGGAACAAGGAGTATTTCGGCACCCTCAGCTTTAGGTCCGGCTGGATGGGGAGCACCAGCCCCGAGCCATGCAGGCGCTGCCAAGGAGAAGAGCACTGCAGTTTCAGAGGATTTGGATTTGGATCAGCTGGAAGAGGCTTATACTCATATCGCCGGCACATTTGATCCTGTTTTTGGTGGATTTGGCCTGGCACCGAAGTTCCTGACACCACCCAAGCTGGCATTTTTGCTGGGGCTCCTGAAGTCACCAGGCGCTGTTCAGGATGTTGTTGGAGAGGCCGAGTGCAAACATGCCACCGAAATTGCTTTGGATACAATGCGTCACATTCGTGATGGGGCGCTGCATGACCATATTGGAGGCACTGGGTTTTCGCGCTGCTCCGTCACAGCGGATTGGAGCATTCCTAACTTCGAGAAGCTTGTGACTGATAATGCGCAATTGCTCTCCCTATATATTGACGCGTGGAAGGTCAGTGGTGGAGGTGAAAAGGATGAGTTTCTGGACGTTGTTCTTGAGCTTGCTGAGTATCTTACTTCGTCTCCCATTGTTCTGCCTGAGGGTGGTTTCGCTTCAAGTGAAGCCGCCGACTCCTATTATAGGCAAGGTGACAAGGAGAAGCGCGAGGGCGCCTATTATGTCTGGACGCGGCGAGAATTTGATTCAGTCCTTGATGAGATTGACAGCCATATGAGTCCTATTTTGGCATCCTATTGGAATGTCAATCAAGATGGAAATGTCGAGGAGGAAAACGACCCCAACGACGACTTTATTGACCAGAACATTCTCAGGGTTAAGAGCACCATCGAACAATTGAGCATCCAATTCAGCACGCCCGTGGAAAAGGCCAAGGAGTATATTGAACAAGGAAGACGAGCTCTAAGAAAGAGAAGGGAGCAGGAACGTGTGCGCCCTGAACTGGACGACAAAATTGTTGTAGGCTGGAATGGTCTCGTGATATCAGCTCTTTCCAAGGCAGCATCGGCGCTGAGGACACTGAGGCCAGAACAAAGCTCCAAGTGTAGGGCTATCGCAGAGCAGGCGGCTGCATGCATCAGAGAAAGGCTTTGGGATGGCAATGAGAGAATCCTATACAGGATATGGTCTGGAGGTCGCGGAAACACTGCCTTTGCAGACGATTATGCCTATATGATCCAAGGTCTCCTGGATCTTCTCGAACTGACAGGAAATCAAGAATATCTGGAATTTGCTGACATTTTACAGCGTCAGTCGTCACAACTCCCCTCCCATAAACACACCCCGCTGACCATGCCATCACAGAAACCCAAACCTCCTTGTTCTATGATGCCGATGGTGCCTTTTTCAGCACTCAAGCCAATAGCCCTTATACAATTCTCCGCCTCAAGGATGGTATGGATACGTCATTACCATCGACCAACGCCGTCAGCGTAGCTAATCTATTCCGCCTCGCGAATCTGCGTTCGAATGACGATTTGGCAGCCAAAGCTCGTCAGACGATAAATGCGTTTGAAGTGGAAGTGGTGCAACATCCTTGGCTCTTCCCTGGTTTACTTCAAGGTGTTGTCACAGCTAGATTGGGTGGAGAGACGTCGAAATGAAATGTTGAATATAAACAGCTTAGGATGGCGGTTCTTATCAAAGCATCTAAATAACTAGGACATAAAGTGTGCAAGTTGTTGGAGTCGGCACAGTCATCCCAAGGCGTTTAAGGGACGGGCGATATTAGGAAAAGAGGAGTTCTGAACAGCGCACAGCATTTTAGGAACTAGTCGATGAGTGAAAAATCGAATACAGAATAAATATAGACTATAAGGTTTTTGTTACACTCTGTAAATACGCGTGGGATATTATCAAATTTATCATTTCAGGGGTATCTAATCTACATCGGCCACCGCCCCCTCCCCAAATATTGATCCGTTACGCTCACTGAGCACAAAGGTTCGACAAATACAATATCTTGAAAAGAAAAGGGGATCGTCCATAATTCTTTGTGTGGGCATCTGCTGCTCCTTTCTCAAGATCTAGATGTATCTCCAGTGCCCTTGCGGTTCATCAATCCAGTAAAGAAGCTTTGCAGTTGCTCGTTGTCAAAGTCCTTGGCCATGTTCGCAGCAGGTGTTTCGGCCTCCTCCTCTTCGTTACTTGGGGAAGAGCTAAATGCATTACGATCCTGTTCATGTCAGCAACTTATTCAGAGTAGTGAAGTGGCCATGTCTTACCTTGAGACGCTGCAACATATCATCAGCATCGACTTGGATACCACCCATATTGAACTGTACAGGGCCAATGTGCTCGCTGATGCTCGTCTCATCGCCAGTGTAGTCGATGTGACGAGTGCTGCGAACGATGGCATTGTCGCTGCCCTTCTCTGGCAACTTGGCCTTGAATACCTCGAGAATCTTGAGCTGCTTCTCAAGAAACTCCTGGGTGTCGTCACTCTCCACCGTGATCCACCTCTCGCCGTGCATGGCATTTTCAACAACTGCGAGACCACCACTATTGGGATCACGGCACCAGCCCTCGTACCGCGCAATCGCACTGTTTAGTTTCCTGATTTCTGCTTCTTTATCGCTTATCTTGTCTGCATCATCAAAGGGCATAGAGTAAAGATCAATGCCGAGATCTTGAGACCATGTATTCGAAACAGGCTCCGGATCAAAAGACTCGCCAAGAACTCGAATCTTGCCCCACGAATCCCAGTTGGTTGGGACGACAATCTTGTCGCGGTCGATAACGTTGTGCTTTAGTGGGTGCCGCTTGAGAAGAGAGGTAATTCCAAGGGTTGAGTGAATGAGAGAGGGTAGCTGCGAAGGCGTATTTTGTGAAGTGTAAATGAGAGAGGCGCCATCTAGAGATTGTTAACATTTCGACCAGAGGCTTGGAAACAGGCCAACGTACGTCTCAGCAGAATGGTTCGCAGATATTGCAATACTGTATCAAAATCCGGCTCTTTCCAACCCTGATTCTTTTCAAGAAACTCCATTTTTTGGGACTGCTTGTGTCAGTATGGTCATCGCAGGCCGCGAGAGACAGTTCCTTACATTCTGGCACACCACACAAAGTGGGAGACCCAGAGGCTCCTCCCATTCTCCTCGTCCCAGAGGCAGTGCACTATCTCCATCACCGCCGGTAGCCGCAGCCGATGGTGTTCCATCTAGGTTAGTTGTTGCGCCTCCTCGACCTCTTTCTTTCCAAGTTGACATGACTTCCTCCATAATGGCATGTTGTTCTGCGTCGACCTTTTTGAGGACCTCTTGTATAACCTGAACCCATGTCCATATTTGTCGTAGCCATAGATGCGGCTGTGACCAGTCGAGAAGAATGATAAGAGAGGTATTGGGGATCGTTTCAGGGGTAAGGAGGGGCGCAACGAGAGATGCGAATTCGGCTGAAGGTTGGGAGAGGAAGTAGAGCGAAACTCGTGCCAGAGTATCTAAATTTATTAGTACATCGTTCTGAGCCTGATCTATCTGGGCGTTGATGCACGAACCGTCTTGGTCGGTGTCGAGAACGTCGTAGTATGTATAGCCCAGCGCAAAGTTGTTCGCAATCGGCGGTATCTTAAGCCGGTCCGCATTACGCTTTGGCTCGGAGCTGGAGAGCGATTCGAGGAACTCTCTTTGGTTCTCGGGAGTGCCACCTGAGTTTCGAAGGCTCATGATCAGCTACCTAGCTCTTCGACTGAGCTGTCTACTAAGTTACCACATACCTAGCACAATGAGGTTCTTTTCCGGTAGTCGTTTGGCGCTGGCAACAGACTCTAGCATAGACGTCCAAAGATCCTTCTTTTGTTCGCCATCGCGGCCCTCGGAGTCTCCTGAGCCCGTTGTATAGATCGATACTCTGTTGGTGTTGGCCGCCATGATCCCGGCTGTTGGGTCACCGAGCTCGCTGGTCAACAAATTGTCGTATAAGATGGCAGTGCGTTAGGTCATGAGTATATCTCCCGTGGCGAAAGAGGGCAGAGGTTGTCGGCAAGCCTGCCTCAGATCGACGTCTAAGTAGAGGGACAGTACGCGTTTTGGTGTTGATTCGATAATGCTAAAGGAGATTTAAGGTTGTCGTAGGGGCATCTTCGCTCTGCGTACAACAACGACAGCAGGGAAGATGATGCAAGCTCTCGGCTCGATCGTGAGTATCCCAATCGTCGATAATCGGTTCGAAAAAGTCGCTTCAACTTCCTGGGCAGTTCGTGGTACGTAGATATCGTCGACCGCTGTCTTTCATCAAAGATGAACGTGGCCAGGGTCACCACGTACCAATTCCAATGGGTGGATGGATTGGCACTTGGATAACACCCCGTCATTTTAGTGTTCGGTCCGGAAATTGTCCCGCCAAAAAGAGCTACGCGCGCGCCGCAGCTCTTGCAGCTTTAGCGCACGGACTCCCTAAAGCTTCAGTGGACGTACGTCTCATATTCTGACAATAAATGCGACTTCATTACTCTGTACCATATAAATTTTGCGACATTCACAAGGCAGCGCAAGAAGCAGCGCAAGACACACCATGAACAAAATACGCGCAATCCAGGCGCTGAACAAGAAAGAGATAGAGAATGGAATGTGAGTACTTGCTTTCCTCTCCAGCATTTCCAGAATCCCTGCTAACAGATGTACTCAGTACTCCAGAAGCTTCCTGGCATACAGACTATCGAGACACTGCCTACGTCTACTTTGGCGGTCTTCCTTACGAATTATCCGAAGGCGATGTAATAGCGATTTTCTCACAATTTGGGGAGCCTGTTTTCTTAAAGTTGGCTCGCGACAAAGAGACTGGCAAGTCCAAGGGCTTTGGTTGGCTCAAGTATGAGGACCAGAGAAGTACCGACTTAGCGGTTGACAACCTTGGCGGAGCGGATATTGGTGGTCGCCTAATCAGTGTCGACCATGCGCGATACAAAGCGCGGGATGATGAAGACCCCGAAGAGTTCAAGGTCGGCTGGGAGGACATGCTCAGGCGAGAGGGACAAGCGCTGTCAGAAGATGAGAGTAGCGAGGAGGAAGTGAAGCGGCCGATGCTACCAGAAGAGCGAGAACTTGCGCTTCTGATGCAGGACCATGATGACGACGACCCCATGAAGGGCTTCCTGATCGAGGAGAAGAAGAAGGAAGTTGAAGAGGCGCGACGCAAAGCAGAAAAGAAGGATCGAAAACACAAACACAGACATCATCGGTCACATAGATCGAGGAGAGATGGAAGCGAAGAAGACCAGCACCGTAGATCAAGACGAGACGAGACTCCCGAAGGCAAAGAGGACCGACATCGTGATAAGGATTCCCGACGACACAGAGATGATGACCAAGATCGAGAAAGGAGACGCGATAGGGACAGAGATAGGCGAAGGGAGAGAAAAGACGACGATGAAGACCGTCATCGTGTCCGAGATCGGAGGAGAGACCGCGATCGAGAGCACAGAAGGCATAGGGAAGAAGACCATGTTGAGTCACGGCACAAACGACGTAGGGAAGAAGACCAGGAGGAGAAAACATCAAGGAGAAGGAGTAGAAGTCGATCGCCACGACGGCGCGACGATTAAAGCACATTATACAGTAAAACAATATTTCACTCGGTCCAAAGTAGCTCTACTTATCCTGAACCCCTCAAACGCCCATCCCAAGTTTGCCCAGCATTAAGAGTCATATCCGTTGTGATCATTAGTTTGCCTTGTAGCGTGGCCTCACTTGGCTCATGTGTTGCCCAAATAACGCTTCCAGCCTTCCCTTACGCAGTGTCGCTTTCCATCTTCTCCGTCAACAATAATGAACTTCTCCCATCGTGCATCATGCCCAGCACCTATAACAACAAGACTATCATCGCTGATCCAGCCAATAACGCCCTTTGGTGGCCGCGATGTTCCTAGAACAGTGCTCTCCGAGAAAGAAATGCCCCCTATAGCAGCTTCATCACCAGCCTCAAAAGGTGCTGAGCTAAAAGAGTAGACATCAGAAAAGACTCGAGGCATCAGTGGAATCTTGCTGAGGATACCCCACTTCCCCGTTCCGTCGCCTGGGTCTGATCCAGAAGCGCCGAGCTGTTGACTTCGGCTCATTCCTGGCTTTCGTGGATGCGGTACGTCGAAGATGTGAAGGGTGGACTTGTCAGAGGTACAGGCAAGCATCGTTCCACAAGGTGAAAAGGCAAGAGAAAAGATAGTCGCAGGGTCAATGCCACGCCGAAGTTCAGCAAGTCTTGCACAATTGCTTGTAGCATAAACACGGATTAGTGTACCTGTTTCGCTTGCACTGGCCAGAAGTTCGCCATCTGGGCTTAATGCGATGGCCTTGAGGGCTGAAGAGTGGGCCGGAATGATGCTGACATTCCCGGTCGCCAACTCGATGAGTTGTATCTGTCCAGCAGTTCGGCCGGGGAAGGCAAGCTTCTTCTCAGAAAGACAGCAAAGACCAAGGAGATTGTCTGCAGTTTCGTAGACATGCAGTAAATCCGGAGGTTTGGCGAACGAGTAGACACGCACGCTATTCTGTAGGACAACAGCGATGCGCTCCCTACCCAGTTGGACGCCACGAATTGCCGTCAATGCTGTGATTTCCAAGGCAACTTTGCCCTTCATGTCGTCCCATATTATAGCCTATTTTCCGGTAAGCGAAGAGCTAGGCAGTTTGCCATGATGGCTTACCTTGTTCATGGCAAACTTGGGTGACCTGCCGCCACCAACAAGAGCAAGGTAGTTGGTAGTTCCCATCATCTGAACGAGGCCGATGCCAGCATTGAAATCTATGAGGCTGTGAGAATGTGCGTGTATAAACTTTATATGATGGACATACCCCTCGAAGCCTTGAGAAGACATGATTTTGTGTGGAAGACTGAGCCGAGTGTTAGTGAAGGGAAGCACATAGGATTGTAGAAGTTGACTTACTGCAGATGCCTGAGCCTAAGCCTACAGAAAAGCAACTTGCATCGTTATTGAAAGACACTGACAGTACAGCTTCAGTACTAGAAGCCTCGATCGGTGGCCGTACATTCATCGTGAATGAGTTGATATGTACAAGTTCAGTCTCGGCCTACAGTACGGATCTAGTGTTTCCGGTGCGAGAGCTGAGAGGGGTAAGTCAAAGCTGAGGCGAACGTGATGTTGATGGTGATGTCGAGAAACAACAGGTTTCGAGCAATAATGATTGGCTGATGAAGTTTATCAGGGAATGTTACCATGAAATGAATAACATTTCGAAGGCGCCGAAACCTTATGTGCTTATTATGTAGGTTTATTTGATGTCGCTTATAGAACCACCACTGATGAGCAGAGCCTGTACCTGCGTGACTGAGGCTTGATCTAGACTGTGGAGAGGCTTTAGGAAAAACAGTTATAAATCTATGAATGAACAGAAATTTGCATAATAACAACGGTAATAATGTGTCTTATATCCAAAAACAGGAGTACAGATAAAAGTGAGCTTTCGATGTTAGAGTAGCTCTTGTTTGTCTACTATGTCTCATCCACTGGACAACTCGAACCGCGTCACGGTACCTAACAGCCACAGTCCTTATATTCAGCCACCAACAATCTATTGTGGCGCAACATAAGAACAGGCTCTTTGAAGACTTGACTTTAAGTTAGTAAGGGAGAAAAAAATCTACCCAATATTACCCAATATTACTCAAGAAACTTCCTAATTACATCGCAAAATATCTGAAGTTTATCTACGGAGTAAAGTATCCAGGACTAAAGTAGTCCTTGGTTGTTTTATCATTGCCGAGAGATTCAAACGGACAGAAGAATGATATCACGTGACGAAACAAAAGAATGAGCTCTGATTGAAGCAAGCGCCACAGCAAGGCTCGTTGAGGGTCCGCTAGTGGTCCCTTGGGCGGGAAGGCGGTCTGGCTTTACAGGGTGCTGAGGTGCAATGGAAGTGTGGATTTCGTAGTGGTAGGGGTGCACCTGCTTTGCTCCCGCTGGCATTTGTTAGCACTGGCACTCTAGCTTAGGCACTTCCCCTGAATCTTAGAGGAGGAACGATTGGCCAGGTGTGAAATTGCCCATACCCCTTGAGCAACCCAAGTCCAACACGACCCGTATCCTTCTCTCCTGGCTCTGGCTCCTCCTAGCCTCCTTTAACATTTTCCCCTTGGTTCAGGTTCCCCAAGTTTCCACTTCAACCACCGCAAGCAAAACCATACTCGATTTGAGTTGTTGCTCGACGTTTGGTGCCTTCGACCTATTCCTGCTACATCTCCTCAGCTTCGCCTTAACTTTGCAAATCTAATCTTCAAGATGTCGTCCATGGGTGTATGTGCTATCTCTCCTCCGGTCCTGTCCTGTCGTGTGGATGCCACCGCCGTTGAAGCTACAGTTTCCCACATGATTCCATGGACCAAAACTTTGACGCGCCTACCATTTCAATCTCAGCTCGCTAACCCCTACTCCCCAATAGAAGATGATCCGTCGAAAGAAGAATGTCAAGAAGGGTATTCAGTTCTGCCTGATGGTCTGTGGTGCTTCAGGCACTGGTACGTGGCCCCTAGCGAGAACCGCTGCGACGACAGCTACCATGGCCTCGCTGCGATTAATATAGTACGTCAAGCTTACAATCGACAGGCCGTACCACCTTTGTCAACACACTTTGCGGAAAGAGCGTTCTCGATCATAAGGAGTCCGACGATGCTGGTAGCGCCCACGTTGAGGACGGTGTCAAGATCAAGCCCATCACTGTTGGTATGTACATCTCATTATCGTTGCTTGCATACATGACACTAATTGGACTATAGAGCTCGAGCTTGACGAGGAGGGCACTCGCATCTCCCTCACAATTGTCGACACCCCCGGCTTTGGTGACCAGATTGACAACGAGGCTAGGTAAGCTAGTATCGCGGTCCATGTTTTTACCCCTCCGCTAACCCAATCCCAGCTTCTCAGAGATTGTTGGCTACCTCGAGAGACAATATGATGATATTCTTGCCGAGGAGTCTCGTATCAAGCGTAACCCCCGCTTCAGAGACAACCGAGTCCACGCCATGCTTTACTTTATCACTCCCACCGGTCATGGGTATGTTTTATAAGCTTCTAATTCTTCGGACGCGACTGACGTTTGCAGCCTCCGAGAACTCGACATCGAGCTCATGAAGCGCCTCGCTCCCCGTGTCAACGTTATCCCCGTTATTGGCCGCGCCGATTCGCTCACCCCCGCCGAGCTCGCCGAGTCCAAGAAGCTGGTTATGGAGGACATCGAGCACTACCGCATTCCCGTCTACAACTTCCCCTACGATATTGAGGAGGACGATGAGGATACCGTTGAGGAAAACGCTGAGCTCCGTGGCCTTATGCCTTTCGCTATCGTTGGATCTGAGGAGGTTGTTGAGATTGGTGGCCGCAAGGTTCGCGCTCGTCACTACCCCTGGGGTGTTGTCGAGGTTGACAACCCTCGTCACTCCGACTTCCTTGCCATTCGATCTGCCCTGCTTCACAGCCACTTGGCTGATTTGAAGGAAATCACCCACGACTTCTTGTACGAGAACTACCGTACTGAGAAGCTGTCTAAGAGCGTCGAGGGTGCTTCTGGAAAGTGAGTTCTGACCAAAGTCGCGGATATTGACCACAGCTGACTGACTTATTTTTAGTGCTGATAGCTCAATGAACCCTGAGGATCTTGCCTCTCAGTCAGTGCGCCTCAAGGAAGAGCAGCTCCGACGAGAGGAGGAGAAGCTCCGCGAGATCGAACTCAAGGTGCAGCGCGAGATCAACGAAAAGCGACAAGAGCTGCTGGCCCGCGAGTCCCAGCTCCGAGAGATCGAGGCCCGCATGCAACGAGAGGCTGCTTCTCAGGCCACTGGCACACCCGAGCCCAATGGCGAGGAGCCACTCAACTAGACCTATCATTTCACATTGAGGTCTTTTGCGGTGTTTCAAAAATGCGACGTTGGACTATTGTCTATTGCTGGCGTTGGTTTTCCTCTCCCACGACTGAAGAGAAAGATGAGAATATTCCCCCTGCTGCTGAACAATTGAGTTGTCGTTTTCTTTTTTCTTCGCCGCCCTCCTTCACTCATTAAACGTCTGCTATTCTTAAAACGGTTCTGGGCATGCCATCTGGAAACGGTTTCCCTGGAAAACTGATGGTGGGCGGCTACCCATTGTTTAGAAGCATTCTCAAGGGAGGGTCATTATGTATCTGGCTGTTGTAGGGACGCAGCGTGCGGGGAGTGTCTTAAAGGGATGAAGACGCCCTTGCGCTACGATACGATGCATGCAGACGACTGGCGGATAGGACATATTGCCGTGTCCTGGTGCCATCTTGTGGTCATATTAGACTTGTATTGGGCGTACATCGTTGTCCATTCTTGGGCGACACAACCTTGATTGTTTCTTTTTTCTAGTGGCCTTCTAATGCTGATATCAAATAAATTCAATATTTTTTGTAATACGACTGTTGTACTCTGAAACACTTGCTAGATCTTGTTACTTGGAAATACTCATAATGTCTTAGTTTATGATGATGACTATCAATTATCCTGTCCTGAGTATAAGCTGCTTGGACAGCCCAATTAACGCGTAGTGAAGGAAACCAAACTTTGTCCAGGAACGCTAGGGAAAAAACATAGTCTGACTAGGGAAACCCTCTGTAACACAACAATTAAGATAGCTCTTGAATCAGACACAGCTCGCATAACACAATCTTAGTGGCACAGTGATGTAAGTTAAGAACCGAGTCATCGATCCACAGGTCTCGTGTCTACGCCTCGTTAAACTTTTACAGGTCGGTATCGCTTAGTTATTAGACTGGCTGTTGAGAATGCGCAGAATAGCGAGGAAGAGGTTGATGATGTCGAGGTAAAGGCTGATGGCAGCAGCGATCTCCTCCTCGACATGGTGGTGACGAAGGACAAGCTGGGTGTCGACGAGAATGTAGCCACTGAAAATGAGAGCAGCAAGGCCACCGTAGATGAGCTCGCCGGTAGAGCTGTAAGGGAAAAACATGGCCATGAAGCTGAAGATAACGAGACCCCACAGGGCACCGAAGAGGTAAGGCATCCATGATGTGAAGTCATACTTTGTCTGGCAAGCAAAGAGAGTAAGGAAGACAAAGATTCCGGCAGTAAGAACGACAGCGTTAAGAACGATGGATGTCTTGTAGAACGATACGATGACAGAGATGGTGTAGGCTTCGGCGAGGGTGAAGAGCGAGAGGAAGAGAAGGTTAGTTGGGTAAGACTTGCGCTTCCAGTAGGTCAAGCCCATGAAGATCATGGCACCAAAGAGCTGTAAATGTGTTAGTCGTTCACTTTCATGATTCCGCTACTTAGCGACAACTTACCGAAGCCCAAACGACACCGGGGTGGCTCTGGATCCAGTCCTTGTAACCAGTGCTGAAGAATGTGAGGCTGCTCACTCCAGCAGTAGCGAGGAGTTGGACAGTGAGGATGGTGTAGACCTTGCGAACGAACTGGTTGCGGATATCGACAGTGGCCTCAGCCACAGAGCCGCCGAACTAGACACCGTCATGTCAGCATTTCCTTATTCGCCTTGCATCGAACGTATCTGTTCCTACCTTGAAATCATCGGGAAGGTTGTCCTCGCTATCGCGGGGTGCACCAAAGAGGCCCTGGGTTTCATCGCGAGCAGCCGAACCCTCAGCGTAGGCGGGGGGCGCGTGGGTGTAGTCGTCGGGGTCGCTCTGAGGAGCTGGCTGATACTTGGTGTTGGAAGTCATCGTGGCGATAAGTGCGCGTACGTAGCGATAAGTCCTTCGATCGTTTGTGGGTTGGCTTGGTTGAAATAAAGGAAAGTAAGAGGGAGGTCTCGTAGGAGGGATGGTTTTCGAGGTTAAAATGGTTAAAGTGATGGAAAGTGCGGGTCACTTCATCGATGATGCGAGGCCCATAGGGAAGTGCTTGGGAGAGGTCATGTGGGGGATAGAATGGGGAAACTGTGGCGTTTTAGGTAGCTTGGGAACGGGTGGCGGTGCAAACTATCGCGTCAGCTCCCCACTCTAGCTAAAGCTCCATCCATGATATCAACCGACTTCACTTCACACACTCTGGCCATGCATGTCTCGTCTCATTGAAAATTCATTGTGAATATAGAACTTGCATTGATTTCTGTTATTTGCTCCATATCAGTCAACTCGAGGAATATCGGCTATAACAAGTTACATCTCAGACTTTGCTCAATATGCCCAGATCGGACACCGTCCGCATTCATAACCCTTCCGATGTCACACCTTGTCACTTGTAAATGTTTGCCCGTTCCAAAAACTAGCCTCCACTCAGGCGAGACTTAGCGGCCTCACGTGGAGGCTAGAGTTTTCTGCTGTGCAGGGGGAGCAGGTGATTCCATGCTCAAGTTGAAAGCCGGAGGGTTAGATGATGGTCTGGGAGCCGGAGATGGACTCGGGGGCGTCATCTGCGGATAAGTACCGAAAGGGTTGTGGAAGTGACCACCTTCTGTCGAAGGTGGCATCAACGGGGTATAGGGGCCAGCAAGAGGTGCCGTCGTAAACTGGTCTGCAGTCGGCGTCGAAGTTGGGACCGGCATGAGGTCTCCTCCGCCAAGTGCAGGCGAATGGTCCGGTCGTTGCGGATAAGAACCTCGTTGCTGTGCTTGCTGAGTGGGGGACCACGACTGGAAGTTCGGGTTTGGGATTGAACCTGGGTAAGCCAAACCAGAGGGAAGACTCTTCTGGTTATACATGTTCACTCCAATAGCCTTGTCTGTGGATCCAGTTTGGCACTCAAAGCGGACCGTTGTGTGGTTCTTGTTGGGCGTGAAACTACGCTGATAGTCTCTCTGCAATGCTTTGGTTTGCTGAGCATTCGGAATATGCTCATACAAGGCGTTTGATTGCCCGTTGAAGAGTCTGGAAGTTTGAAGTTGACTGGGGAGGTTTAGTGCAGGGCTTGCTATCGAGGGTTGATTGCCTTTATTGACCGGAAGTTTCAGGCAAGACGGCAACCCGCTTGGAAGAGTAGGCTTCAACAGAGAAACATCGTAAACGGGCTTCTCTTCCGTTGTGACCTGGATCTGCTGTGGTGGAACTTGACTAACTTCCGTGGGTTGTGTCTGGTCAGAGCTCTCCTGAGAAGATGAGATTGCAGAAGATGCCGATGACGGAGTGGACATCCCAGTAGCGGCAACAATTCGTCGTCGTTTCGGATTATCAGCCGATGTCGAAGGTGGGTATGGAAATTCGACGCCATTACAAATACTGATGGTTGTTTGTCCAGACGACGGAGGGGGTCTCTTGTTCGAGTTTCTAGTCGAATACTCACCAGACGACTCGGGTTGATGAGATCTGACTTCTAGCTCACATGAGGGCTGTGGTGTTTCCGGGAGTTGAACTAGGCTCATCTCGTGGTCCAGCGACTGGAAGTCCAGCAATTGTGTCTTTCGAGAGATGATGGATTCGACACTTGACTCCCTTCGAGGGCTCAGTCTTTGGACAGTGTCCACAAATTCGCTGAACTCTGGCGGTGGTGTAGGCTCTGAGGCCAGCATTTGGAACGACGCTGGTAACGCTTTCTCCGAAATCCAATCCATGAGAACCTGGGCAATTTCATTGCTGTTCGTCTCGAGAAACATAAGATGCCCGTTGCCCAGTATGTTCTTGTCCTCAAGCTTGATCATGTCGCATTTGACGCCAGCTTGCAGCATGAAAGTCACTGTAGCCCAGTCGTACATGCCATGCGAGCTTGCATGTGCCGTTACAACCGCGTTAGGAACTTTCTTGATATTGATGAGCTTTCGAGGCTTTGGAGCCTGTACGAAACACTCGCTCTTTCCATCAGGCGATGTAAGTTGGGTTATGTCGAGCGGGTTCTTCTCAGGATGGTCATATCCTCCATGTGGATGTGCTGGAGGATCGTAGGTAAGAGGGATGTCCGTCAATCCGTAAATCCGAGTCCCTTCCTCATACTGAATGAAAGGTGTGTACTGGCGGTAAGGATTTCTTTCTTTGGGGCACGCCGTGCCAAAAGGAGGTCCTGGTGGCTCCAGAACAATAACACCAGCGACGAGGTCAGGTTCAACGTCGGTAGCTAGCCAAGCCGCAGCTCCGCCTGATCCTTCGCCTACGAGGATAGACTTGCCGACATGACGCAGGAGCGCTTGGAGGGCGTTCTGAGCGAGAGATTGGCGCTCTACTTTGTTGAGGTGAAGAGTCTCCAAGGAAGCGCAGTACTTGGCGAAAGTGGGATCCCCGCGCATTCCAGTCTATACATCGTCAGCACTTGTATCAATAGACACGAATTTCTACACTTACGCCAGGCCATTTATCGTGGAGTTTCGCCTTTGCATATTGGAGGGGCACGCCCACTTCTCGAGGTACACCAGGCGCAGTTAGGCTTGATTCAACTCCTCTTGCCGGGATAGAACTGGAGCTGAGGCCTGCTTCGCGGTAGATGTAGTGGGAGGTTGTTAAAAAATTGGAGCGACCAGAAGGGGGCAAATCAACGATGAAGACTTGGAAGCCTTTGTTAAGGAAGAACGAGGCCCATCCAGGCTGACCATCTGGCTTGGTTGTCTAGACCTACGCGGAGTTAGGATCAGTTGGTGTGATGAATTCTGATAATATTGCTCACCTGACCAGTGTGAAAGTCTCCATGGATGAGGATGATAGGGTATGGATGGTGTCTCTCGAGAGGTTCCAGACCCTCGACGTACATCTGGCCAACGATGTTCTTCGCAGTCGCAAGCGTCGAACCCATGCTCCAGTCGACATTGACGAAGAATGTTGTTCGATAAGAGGCTGCTTCATTTTGCGCTGCCGGCTTTTGTGCTTCTTGTCGAAGATTGGGTAAGTCGGCGCTTTGGAGATCGTCAGGCTGAGAACTGGATAGGTCTGGGCGGGTTGGCGGGCCTCCTGAGATCTTCTCACCCGGTGAAGGAGAAGTTTGATTCATATTGAGTCGTTGGCTTGAGAGTTAGTCCCATGAAAAGAAACGCCTGGATCCGGACTTTGAGCGTCCGGTGTCGCTGAAGCTGCGCCTGGAAGAACGCCTCGAAAAAAAGATGTGCTAGTGAAAAAGAAAGATTTGCTACGAGGCTGGAAGGATCAGCTGATCATCAGGTGGTTGCGCGCCGAGACTTCTCGGCGAAGAGAGTCAACGGTGGTGGTTGAAGAAGAGAAGAGAGGTTAGTTTGCTTGAGCCTGAAAATAGAGGCAGACATATAAGGCCCTGGCGAACCTGAGTGAAGGCGCCTTCAAAGAATATCCTCGCAAAGCCTAATAATAAGGCGCAAGCTCTTGTTCGAGGTTATGCGAAGTCCAAGTTTCCTCTCGGTGGTCGAGACGAAATATTTGGTGTTGAGATGAGAAGTGCGAGGTGTGAAGGAATTACTCGCGGGTGGAGGATGAAAGACCGACCCTCAGATTCCGACGATACATAATAACAGGTATTTCTGGTGCCTTCATTTGACCCTAAAAAGCCCCAAAGGATCACAATGCATTTCCATGCTCCCTTTGTATGTGATTGCTTGGTCGCCGCCAGTTGTCGACAGCCGTTGGATAGTTACGAGACATTAAGACAAAGATTGTTCCCCGCGAACGTTGATAGGCGATGCAATGCACGGTCAATCATTTCAATTGTTTTTATACCCTTACAGAAACTCCGTTTCCTTCTTTGTCTATCACCAATCTTTCGCTAAACTGAATTGATGTGCGAAAGCACCAAGTTCCATTGTTCAAAGATTCTCGAGTTTGTGGCCATACCATATAATCGCGAAAGAATGGATTCCCGGATGAGAAAACATATCTCAGTGTGACCTTTTGTATAAACTATTTTCTTATCATCAGCAATTTTGGCCGTAGTCCTCCATAAACGTAAATACACCATGATATTAGAGCAGCCAGCTCTAGCAACTCAACCAGATAGCACATCATATCCCACAACAGCCAAGATCCATCTTCCTTACATCATGAGTTGAAGCTGAATGTTCACGGCGACACAGGCTCAGGAGCATCATCCTTCATATCCGGCACCCAGCCCTTAGGTCTCTCACTGCCTCTCACCACAAGTCCGTACCCTAGTCTCTCAACCTTTTTGACACTCTGCCTCATCACAGCCATCTTTCCTCTCCAATCCTTGGTAGGCACATCAGGTAGGATCTCAAACTCACACCCAAGCTCTTGAATATCACTCATGATATTTCGCCGTCCATCTCCAGCCAATTCACCGTTCTGAGCTGTCGTGACAGTCGCAAAGCGCATCATCTCACCAAACAGATCGAAGACACCGAACATGTAGTCATTTGGTGTGAGTGTTATGTCGCTGGGCATAGCGGCTTGTGCTTGCGTGGGTGTGATGAGTGTTTGGTGGCGGAGGTAGTGTGCGAAAGAGAGAGCCTCGACGAACTCTTCGAGACAGCGGAGGGAGAAGGTGTAGCGATAGCGATTGACATTTTGGACATCTGGTGCGATTCCATTGAGGAGCTTGGAGATTTCTTCGAGGCGTGTATCCATGTCTTGTTGGATGTGAGGAGGGAAGTCCTTGTTGAGATGCTTGACTCTGTGATGTGTGAGCAGACTTTCACTGTGATACTTAGATTGGTCTTAGGTACCTCTGAAGGGTAAAGATACTACAAACTAGTTAGTAAAACTTGCGCTTATGATATAAGTCTTGGAAACTCACATCTTCTTACTCTGGGCAGTAACATCTCGCGATGCCTTCACAATCCTCTCCCGTCGATCGTGGTGCTCATCTAGCTCATCACGAAATCCTTCAAACATATCATGGAACCTGCCCCTTGGCCCAGTCTGCTTCGGCGGGCCTGCATTCTTCACACGAGCATTGCCGTCGCGATCTCTCTTAACGCCGCCCGACATGATGATTCGATTGTTGAAAGAAATGCAGCTTATAAGAAAAAGATGGTGGTCGATGATGTTGGAGGTTGGTTAGAGGCGGGTCTTGATTTGTTAGTGCGTGTTTGCAGGGATGACGTGAAATTTGTTAGTGGAGAGAGAGAGCAAGCTCTCCATTTTTGGAAGGCAGCTTGATTCGGACTGCGTTACCTCACTCAACATCAGCAAACTGCCATTGAGTGGCACGCTACAAGAGATTTCTTTTTTGGGTGAATCGGAATAAGAGGAAAACTGAGATAACTTGAGACTTCACAACCTGTTATAAGCTATGGTCTTATAAGCTCTTTACCCCCTGTATCCTGTCTCATCTCACTACACACTCACCGCCAACTGTCATCTTCACCTCATCTCAACCTTCACAATGCCTTCGATAACCCCCTTCCTACACACAACGCCACTCTTCACTATATCTCTCTTCCTCCGCCTCGCTCTTCTCTTCTATGGCCTCTATCAAGATGCCCATTCAGCCCTGAAATACACAGACATCGACTACCTTGTCTTTACCGATGCTTCCCGCTTCGTCGCTGAAGGCTCATCACCATATGCCCGCGACACATATCGTTATACGCCTCTGCTCGCCTGGCTGCTCCTACCAACCACCAGATTCTCCGCTTTTGGAAAGCTGGTCTTTGCTGCGGCTGATCTCTTGGCGGGATGGCTTATTCTGCGCGTGCTTAGACGGAGGGGCATGGATGAAGCTACTGCTGGGGGCTTTTCCGCGCTGTGGTTATGGAACCCTATGGTAGCGACTATCAGTACCCGTGGAAGTTCGGAAGGCCTCTTGGGTGTGTTGACGATGGGTTTATTATGGGCTGTTGAGCGACGAAAACTCAGTCTTGCTGCGATCATTCTTGGATTGTCGGTTCACTTCAAGATATACCCCTTCATCTATGCACCAGCTATTGTGTGGTGGATGGACGATGCTCGTTTAGGTAAAGAGACAAAGGCTGCTACTCGTCCTTCATCATATACGGAAGTAGTCTCAAACTTCTTCACGCCGGATCGCCTCAAGTTTGGACTTCTCAGTCTCATAACGTTCATGATTCTCAACCTCATCATGTTCTCTATGTAAGTCCCCATACACAAATATCAGAGCTGCTTAACTGACCAACTCGCAGTTATGAGACCCCGTTCCTTGTTCATACTTACTTTCACCATGTCACAAGGGTCGACCACCGTCACAACTTCTCGCCTTATAACGTCCTGTTGTATCTCACCTCTGCCACTCCCGCTGATGCTGCGCCTTCATTCCGTATCGAGTCGTTCGCTTTCCTCCCTCAACTTCTTCTATCTTGCGTTCTCATTCCTCTCGCTATTGCCAAGCGCGACCTTGCAACAGCCATGATGGCTCAGACTTTTGCTTTTGTTACGTTTAACAAAGTCTGTACCTCCCAAGTCAGTCACCCTCATCCTTGTTGCTCGTCCGTGAACTAACATATTGTCAGTACTTCCTTTGGTACATGATCTTTTTACCACTTTATTTGCCCAACTCATCTTTCCTCCGCGACCCCAAGTTGGGCATCTCAGCACTGTTCCTCTGGGTAGTCTCCCAAGCTGCCTGGTTGCAACAAGGTTACCAGCTCGAGTTTCTCGGCATCAGTACCTTCTTCCCAGGCCTTTGGTTGGCTTCGCTCGGCTTCTTCTTGGTAAACTGCTGGATTCTGGGCGTCATCATCAGTGACGGTGCTGCTCAGTCAACACGATCGACCATTAAGTTCCACGTCGAATAATAGCCACACGAAGTCCCCCTTCCAAAAATTTGGAAATACAAAAGCAGGCGTGTATTAAGCATGGATATTTTATTGATGAAGATAGCATAAATACTCAGACAATCTTATTCATCGATTGTAATACCAAATCGCCAGTATCGTAGAGGGTATATGGGAAGCTCGTATTCCCTGAGATGAATTACCTCGCCGTCTTCTCTTCCATCTTCATGACTTTTCAACAGATCCCAATCAAATTCTTCTCAAAGCCCAGTAAAGCCATACCAGCAATTCCCGTGTATACATGCGCCCTCATAACTCCCAATCTCCTGGGTATGTGGTTTCAATTAACAGCTTCCTTTCCTTAGTTCCAAACCTTGAACGCCGTCTCAAAACAAAAAGAGTGATGTATCATATGTGTAATCCAGCCATATCGACCTTCTGGCTGTCTTCTGCGATTTAAGATTCATAGTTTTTTATATTGGCATGCATTCCTCACTGAATCGTGATGCCTGTCGCAAGAGATCGATAATTCGACAACTTGAGTGATGCGATCTTCGTCCTCGGGGGGTCAGGTGTAATGACCATTCTTCCGTCCTTGTTGTACACAATGTTGCCAAAGGACTCACTCAGTTCTGGGAAATGAACATCGGGGCGTACGCGACCCATCTCGGCCAAAATCCTCTCGCTCCAGACGCCAGAGCAGGCGCCCTTGTGCATAATGAAAAATGGGTTGAGAGGGGGTAGCACGGAGTCTGATATTCGCGTTTAGTAGGAATTCAAGGTTGGGCTGCGGAAAAACTTACCGAGATCAACGAACCGAATCCTCAGATAAACCACCTCCTTGAGCTTTTCCAGTGATCGAATCGCAGACAGTACCAACTTTTCAAAAGCATCGATGAATCCCATATCTTGAATGCCAGAGCCAGCCTCGTGGAAGCTTGTGTTGTATCGACAGCAATTCTTGACTGTCAAGTCCAGAGTCTTGAGTCGGGAAGTTCGTGAGTCAGTTGACCGCATAGCCACATCAAAAAAGTGGTGACAAACGCGGCCAGTGTAGGCGAAATGCTCTAATGAAGGTAACGCCTCGGCCATCCTTGCACAAATGTGCGTCTTCTGTACGACCTTCGAATAGAACGGGGGCATGACCCCCTCTCGACGATAGTCGCTCTCGAGGCAAAGGCTCAAATTCGTGATGTGACGTGGGAGTTTTGGGAGAAACTCGGCCATCGTAATATAGCTCTTTGACTTTGGTTTGCTATAGGAGCCCTGCCACTCGTAAAGACCTGGTAAAGCTTTCAGAACTGTGGCAAAATCCTGATCATCTCGCATAAGATTCCACTGGCCCCTCGTGACTAGAGTCTGCACCGATTCGAGGACAGGCAGCGGCTTGTAAATGGCCGGATCGATCCTCTGCTCGGGAAAGTGAAGAACTCTCGGTGCCTTGCGTCGCTCTCCTCCTTCCAGGGTCAAAACTCTGGCCTGGGGTAGAGTCTGTCCAACGAATTGAAACACTTGCTCGAGGGTACAGTTGTTGCCAGGTAAAGTATATGTCGCGTTAGTCAGTCCTTCCATGGTTACTGTAGGAAGCGTCAGAGTATTCGACAGAGCGACGGGCCCGTAGGTTGGTTGGAAAACAGGGAACCAGATCTCAATATGCTTGACATATGATTGCAGTTGCTCGTGCAGAGCAAGGTGAACCATAGCATCTTCCAGACAGTCCACAGTCGCTTTTAGTTTAATATGACGATATAGCCGCTGTTGAACAAGAATCCGCCAAACATCGCTCACAAGCGCCAATTCCGTCAATTCCCTTCTCCTCGAATGTCGAAGTGCCGTCCCCCAACTCTTTGTAATGCTCGATACGGCCATTGAACTTCGCGATGTAGCCGAGACTCGATACCCGAACAGGTGATCCAGTATCGCTTCATGTACCTCAATTGGCAGCTGGTTGAAGTCGGTTATAGGGCGAGGAAGGACCACTGGCTCGTTATCAGGGAAAGCGGTAGAGTCAGTGGGTGTATCGTGGTCGGCGCCATGTGGAGAGCCGCTGGAGCAGCAAGGCTTGGAGTGTCGGCGATCAGGGTGAGGAAATGGTGTGCTACTCGGTCTCGTCGGAGGAACAAAATCGGATGTTTTGGCTTGATCGTGAGAAGGGCTGGACGAGCCGGGAGAAACGGGGTTGGAAGCGGTATTGAGAATGCCGTTCAACATGGACGTAGCCATGATAGAGGCAAATTCTGTATCGGAGTCGGCATCATCGTCTCGATCATCGCTCAGGTCGTTCCTTCGTGATGTATAACTATCTCGGATAGGTAGAAGGGCGGATGCAGGAATCGAGGTAGGACAAGGCGCACACGGGCCGGTGTGGCCATCATCGGCCGTATCCATAGGTTCACTGATAGAGTCTCCCATATCAATATCGGTATCGGTATCTGATTGCGATTCAAGTTTCTCCATAAGATGGCTCCAAGGCCGGCACGTGGTGCATCTCAATAAGGTCGGGCCGGGTTGAATGATGGCACTCGAATACAGGATACAGCGGCGGTTGTTGGATGAAGAGGAACAGATTATGGTTGATAGTGAACGAGGAGAAGGTAGTTTATCGGCCACAAGGTTCAAGGGTTGGAGATTAAGCCCCCAAAGATCCGGTTGGTTCACGGTGGACACAGACGGACGGGAGAGGGAACGGGAGGGATGAGAAACAGGTGATTGACCTCCAGGGTGAGGAATGGTAATAAAAAAAGGAAATATGATGGGTTGCGATACGACAGCCGATGAGATGGAACCCCGAAACCAGGGTCAGTCAATCAATGAACTCCACGGTTACGGACGAAGGCGACGAGAGTCGATTTCGTAAGATTGAGACTTTGAATAGGTAGGCAAAGAGAGTTAGGGGAGAGGCAGAAGAGAAGAAGATAGGTAGAGAATAATTGGGGAATGGAGATGGAGATGGATATGGAAAAGAATGACGGGAAGGGGAAGGGAAAGATGAGCCAGCCGTTGCGTTGAGTGGGAGTGGGAGTGAAATTGGAAATGAGAGGCGTTGATTAGCAGATGCTGCACTGCATTGCACTACGCAGCACCGTACCGCACCGTACTTTACTGAGGTGCATAGGTAGCGAGCGAGCGAGCGAGAGGCCCCCTCCCCTCACTCACTTCTGCCTTTGCTAGCATATTATTTATTGTTGTTATTATTCTATAGCTGAGTAACCCGCTGTTGGGCAACTGAACTGAACTAACTTGATTGCCGTATTTGTCTTCATTGTCTCTCCCTTCAGTACCCGTCTCACTACTCCACCAACCAAGCCTAGGTAGGTACGGTAGATTGCGTGGTGGTTGCAGCGTATATCCAGCCCAGCCCAGGTCTTGTTTTGTCTTGAGTGGCAGTGAAGGTCTTACATAGCCTTGTAAATGTGCATGCTCGCTCGTATTACAACCCGCCCGTTCTGATCTGGCCTTTCAAGATAAGGCATCAATACTACCGTCCCCGTCATGGCCACGTCGTCACAACACATGACTCTGCTTCTTTGGTAAGTACAGTTGCATCTTGTTCATGCTGGCACAGGAATTGTCCACGACTGATCGTTATCAAAGAACCTAGTGGAGGTCGCGTGCTTAGCGGCAACGGATCTCCACAGCAGGAAGACAAGACAAGACATGTGGGAGTCCACCTAGCTTTAATGGAATTGTGGTTGTAACTGCAGGTAACCTACCAGCAACGGTTCTCTAGCAACGATCCAAAACAAATGGAATCAGATTCATCTTTGTTATCTTGTTCATCTGGTAACAAACGCTGAAATTCTGTATGGCTGCTACAGGTTCCAGCGCCAGTAGATAAACCTTATGACCTCCACTCTCCTCTCTGCAGTGCAGCCCAGCCCAGGCGATCAATTAAACATGGATCACATCCAATCCACCGAAGCCGATGAACGCCTCACTTTGACCAAATGTGTCACCCAAGTCCTCAGCCCAGCCTCTACCTATTAAAGCGCCGACTGAATCAGCAACTTATCACGTCATTGGGCACAAGGCATCTCCAAACTCTATCCAACCCCCACCCAATGGTCAGATTCTTCTGTCCAGAATAGCCTCTCGCTCGAGCCAGCGCATCATGATTTCCACAACAACCCCCTGCAAGACCCTGAAAGTTGTTCTTCTGCTAGCGCCGCGCCAGGCGCGATCTCCTCGGCTTTGCTTATTTCCCGTTTCTCCTCTTGTTGATGCGTTATCGATTCGTTAGTCTAGACGCTATCAAGGATTCATTCCAAGAGCCAGCCTTTTATTCGAGGGAGCAGTCAAATGAAGTGAGTCTTTTGTCTGGAACACAATTGATTGTATTGAGACGCCATCAATCCAACATTATGATGTACTCTGTCCTTAGAGAGCAAAAAAAAAAAAAAAATAAAAAAAAAAAAAGAATGAGATATCCAATGACACAGTAAAAAAAGGCCAATCAAAAGTCTCTGAAGCCCATCATAAAACCGTCTAATATTTTTGTCACTTACTATCATGGTGTCATACTCAAGGTCGCATCAAATTTTGATCATCATCGTGTACCCTATATCACCGTGCGTCGTCATTCAACTTTGAGTGTGTATTCGTAACCATGAGGCAGTGCATCATCAAGAAGGTAATTCTTTTCCTACATACTGGCTTGTTGAAGAAGATTGGCATGATCTTCCTCAACTGCCGATGATCTTCTCCTGCATGACGATCCCTGTCGTAAACAGCAATAGTTTGTAGGTACTCCGCAAGTAAATGCCGAATCCTTCTCTCATGTCTTGACTCACAGAATGGCTCTCCTTCAAGTGTATCAACAAACGGTATCTTGAATATATGAGCAGAACTTCAATATTGTCTCAATTGAATCAAAACAGGTCTCGTTTCCTTAAAGGAGGATCAATCAATATTTGTCGACCTCAAATCCTGTCAGCGATTGAAGGTCCATTAACATGAACTGAACAACGATCTGATCCCTAACAGCCTTTTGGCTTACACGTCAAAAACAGGTATTCTGGAGTTTTTCGTGCTTCTAAATTAGATAATTCTCGGATATTATGCCTTTCTTGATCTGGCAAAGAACTTCTAGTTTCCAAGGTACACAGCAACTAAAAGACCTCCAGAATAAGGAAGTGTAGTTAGCTTGAAGCCATTGGCAGTGTCCTCTAGATAAGCCATAAGGTCCTTGTAACCTGCTTTGGCAGCCTCAGTGTTATCAGCAACCACTGTAGCACCTGGCTTCATCCGCGGCTTGACGAGCTTGAGCGTAGGCAGAGCCAGAGGGGTCCAGACTGCAGTTTGGTTAGGAACGCTAGACACGAGAAGAATGTTTTCCTCGCCCTGGGGGCTGACTCACTGTCTAGGAGTAAGAAATCCACTTGTTCTGGCAGGTCGGTCTTGAGCGTCTCTCGCAAATCTCCCTCTCGTAATTCAATAAACTTCTCAATATCATCACCGGCTTGACTCCAGTACTTGCGAGCTTTGACAGCCTTGGTAGGTTCATTCTCAGTTGCAATGACCTTACCTGGCTGCGAGCCAGCATTCTGAGAAACTGCCAGAGCTAGGTAGATGGTGCTAACACCGAATGAAGTCCCGGCTTCGACAACGAAACGTGCCTTCATAGATCGCAGAAGGAGATATACGTAGGCACACTTATCAGGGTCCAATGCGACAAACTTATCAAGTGCGGTAGAGGCAGGCCCATCTGTGCTGACGTAGGGCGGTTCGTCGAGAGCTTTCTTGTGAAGGTCCCGAAGAAGCTCGATAGTTTGAGAGCTTGCAGCTATAGAAGCCAAAGTTGTTTCGATAGAAGCGTAGTCAGGCATATTGGAGTTCGATAGGTAACTGCACAGATAGTTTTGTAAGACGGAGCCACTGATCTATTCAAGGGAAAGCCTGACCTTTATACAATTCGAAAGTCGGACTAAGGCTGGGGCCGATGTTTATATCCGTTGATGCTGATGAGGAATCAATGTGGAACCTGTAGTCATGGGAAGGCGTTGACCAAGTTAACCCCGCTCCTCGGCGTCAGAAGTTATTGACCGATGCCGAACTCGGGATAAAACTGTTTCTCGAGTCACTGGAAGAGAGTATAGGTTGAGTCATCAGAGAAACATAGATACGTAGAAAAGCATTGTGTGCTCAAATTTATCAAACTTCATTGGACTCCTCAGATGGCTTATACCACCAAGGAATGTCAGCATCGGAGATATCTGGCCATTGATCAATAACTATAGCCCCTTGTAACTGACACTATTCAATGGGATACGAAGATAGAGAAAGGTGACAAAGTATATCGAATAACTTTGAAACTTAATCTACCACTTTGTTGGCGATGCTTTTCCTTTTCCTTACGTACCTGGAGTTCCCAGTTTGACAAACTAGATGATACTGACAGCCAGAGCACTGGCAACATTTTCGCTAACAGAGAGCCTGATAACCGGAACCGCTCGTTCAACTCTCGTTACAGCCGCAAACTGTAAACTCGTCTTCGGACTTTGTTAGTGAAAGATTCATCTTGGTCTCTGTCTCGACGCTGTGAATTTCAGGACACTCTGGACCTTCGCAAAAGAAAGCAAAAGGAATAAAACTACTCAAACCGCAAGATTTAGTTTAGTAAATGCATCTAAAACCGGTTTAAGACTTCAGTCATAGAAGGTTCGGGGTTCAAGTTGGCTCCTGTATCCTGGCTTGTCCAGTTTTGAAAAAGAGAGAAATATATTAATGTGAATTAGAAATATCATGAGGAAATAATAGAATTTGCTTAAGAGTCCTTACTACCTAGTTATAGGATATATCTTTTCCATAAGGCAGAAGACTGTAGCTAGCTTAGTCGGAGAAAGAAATAAAACACCTGAAGGGTAAATTTTTTTTTTGGAAAACCATACGAATTGAAGACTCAAATATTTCTAAGAAAGGGCTTGTAATTTCATAATTGATATTATCTGGTTCCTCTAAAGACCAAATTGAGGCTAAGCCAACATCGCATCGATCCTTTGCAACTTGTTGTGAAGATGCCGAGAACTTTGTACTATGTAGCACAACAAGTCATGGTAACAGCTGCTATAAGTCATTGAATCGAAAAGATAGATAAACACTAATAATTCACTGCGGGCTCATGAAATAAAAGGCCAATTTGCTCCTTCAGACTTCAACAAATATCATCAATTTGGGTTACATGCTTTGGAGATGGAGCACAAACGCTGCGGTGACAGCTCGCATTTTATAATTCCACACCGAAAACCTCTGAACCTCAACCATCTAAGGACAGTTGGAACAGAATATGTGTCAGATTTCATTTGTAATCATACCTAAGGGCAAGGCTGAATAGTGCAGAGGTGCCCCAAATGAAGCCATGATGACATTGAACCATTGGTGGATAAACCAGTAACGAAAGTGCTATCGGGATAGTGGGCGTAACGGATGACGTGCATGTTTTTAACTATTGCATTGGATGTTGTGTCGATCAGACAAAAGAGAGACACTGAAGAATGATTAGAAGCATGTTAATTCCGAAAAGGGGTTCGTGTAGAAAATGGTTAAAACTTCGTGTGTCAAACAACGAAACGTTGCTTCTGAAACTACTTATGGTTAAAGAAATGTTTGGAAGGATAAATTCAAGTCTTCAGGGAGTATTTTTTATGGTTAAATGGGAGATTGAGCTAGGGAAGACTTTAAGTTGTAGGGATAATAAGGATTCGTATCAAGCGCGGACTGCAACAATATTAGCAGTTGCGCATGCTGCATTGACAACGACAAGTAAGACATAAGTTCTCAACTATCAGTCTTGGTAGTTCTAGGGTCAGTTTTGACCTTCTATATGTGTATCTAGCAGCCTTGATGTGCCTTGGACTTCATTTTCGAAGTCTCAAAATACGGTTTCGGAAATTTGATATAGCCTTGGCAACATAAAACAGATAGTCACATGGGGTTTCAACTCAATAGGCAATGACCTATGAAACCATAGAAGGCGGTGTATACTCATGCGTGTAGAATATGGAAGGTAGCCGTGACAGTCTATCTCCGGCTTGGGCCGTGTGCTGTGGAGGCCAGAATGACATGTCATTGTCCAGATGACAAGAAGCCATGATTGATAATGGAGATCAATCAGACTTGAGCAAAAGCCTCTCCGCGGCTCATAGCTCAGTTGCCGCTTTTCCGTAGTGTCGTACATATGGCAGTTTTCCCGGCAGAATGACCGGGCGGCCAGTGGAAAATGGATGATATAGGGCAAGGATGCCTGTGTGTCAAGTCCGTCTCGCCACGATCTAGACTCCATAGATGCGATTTTGCGGGTTTCAGAACTTCGTCAGCTCATAACATGTCAAGGCCCGACTCAAAAGACGATCATCGGTTTTGGTGTGTCTTTGTGTTTTGTGTTAACAAAAAGTGAGGTAAACATATTTTGTCAGTTGAGGTTGTTTTGAGAGACCCAGAAAATAGCCTTTGATAGGTCGCTTGGCAGGGAGTGTTCTTCTGTAAGCGGGCTCCTTCCCTTTTGTGATCCCTTATGCTATTAGTCATGACGGGAGCAACTGCTTCAAGGGCAGCGCATTCTGAATCATACTTACCTACCTTAATTATTTCACTTAAGCATGTGAAGAAAAGAAGCTATTCCCAGACGCAGACAATGATTCCACAGCCAAAGACTTCTACCGAGGTCGTCGCTTGTTGGTTGTGTTTCAACCGTGCTAACCCCGGTCTTATCCTGTGTCGTCCCAATCAGACATAACGATGCATATGGATGCCACAAATCAGGTGAATCATCCTTAGCTGCTTGCCTTGTTCGAGAAGGTCGACATCTTTGATCGGTCCCAAATCTACTAAAGCATGCCCTTTGGTCATTTCGCTGCCCTTCACCTGCTGAGCCACACCAGAATTCGATACAGCACCTTGCTCCCTGGTTGTCTCCGAGACGCGCTTAGTCCGTGACCTGCATGGCGCCCTACCTATTATATCCCCGACAGCCCGGGTTACCACCCCCCCACGATACTCATCGTCCGTTGAACTCGGCCGTTAGAGCCCCTTCAGGATTGCCAAAACAACCCCTTGGCTCTGTATATTTGCGACACTGAGCCATGGAGAAGATCTTGCAAAAGGGGCGCACGCTAGAACAAAATGCAAACTTTTCTCCGACATACAACAGACAAAACAAAACAAAGACTATTTGCACACGTATCACCTCGGATTCAGAGACATTTGGCGTTTGTTAACACGGCGCTTCGAATCGGCGTCGTTTGAATATGAGGCGCCGCGTGGGAAGAGACTTCATCAGCCAACCAAATCGACTTGTGCCTGGCAGGTCCAGACGCCAAAGCCTAGCGTCACTTGTTTCAAACTTGGGATTGACAGGGGTAGTCCAGGGGTCGTCAAGCGCCGATTCTTGGAATGGCTTGGCTGGTTTCCAGTGAGTGGATCTTCCGTGATGATGTGACATTGAGATTCAGTACTGGCTGCCAATCGCACTGCGTTATCACGCTTTGCCAACTGAGTAACAAAACCGCCGTGATATTGCCATTGTGCATTGTTTATGGGTATCGTCCTTAGTTGGGTCTTGGCTTGGCCGGCAAGATTCATCTCAAGATACTTGACAGTCTGGGGATGTGATGCAAAGACTAAGTTAGCTGATGGCAGGAGTCGGCCATGATCATCCTCGCATATGCCCTGGATGGAGGCTTTTGGATTTTCGGATTTTCCCTGCCCCTTGCTTAAAGGCAACAAGATTACGGATAGTGATGAGCTAATCGTGCCGCTACCAGCACTCGAAGCACTGACCGTTAGCTAAATAAGTGCAACTACTGTCCTACATGTGACGCGCCAGCTCTTTGATTTACTGTGATCAGGCGGCATTTGCTGCATATCATTGGCGGTACTTCACTGGGCCTGCGGGTTGTGGGCAACGGCAACGGTTCTTCTCGCCCAACGCATTGCGGAAAAGAACAAGGGACGTGCTGCTGTTGCGGCCAAGATCGTTGCTTTCGAGAAACAGTAATCAAACGCCAATTTTGGATATACCAATCAGTGATGGCAATCGATGAGATGCCCTTACAGTTACATACGCTATTATAACTGCTTCAAAGCAATTATGGTTTCGTCGTCGATTCGATGTCACCGCAAGTGTGACAGATTTTCGCATCCCCAGCTCCTGAGGCAGAGCTGACTATAGTGATTCAAGTTAACGAGCTGGCTGAGCAAGCATGAGCATTGAGAACCCCACCGAAAACAGAAAATCTTGACGGTTCCAAGGGGTTCTTGGAGTGAGGCCCAGGCGTTTGACTTGGCGACTGTAGTCGTACAGGCTTCATCACACTAAACTAAACAACACCTCCAGGCCCTTGTCCCTGACGCCGAAGCCCTGGATCCACGGCCCCTAGCGCCACATCCCCGCCATGGATCTTGCGGCTCCCTCCTGAAGCAACGAAGCTTGATCTGAACCCGCTGAAGCCACCAGTGAGAGGCCGATATTCTATTGTTCGGTGTTCTCCTATTAAACCCACATCTCCCACCCATTGTCAGCTGCTGGACGGCCATTCTCATTCTATTGTTCGGGTTATTCATTGTTGGAAGACGTCTCTTTTGACTCTTTCGTTATTTTCTCATTCTTCCTTTCCCTTGATTTCCTTTCCCCCTTTGTGCTGCTAGACAGTCCCATTTAGCTTGTTAATCACCATCCTTTCCTTGTTATACTGAACAGTGTATCGCGAACTTGCGAACTAACACGACCGATCCTTATTCAACAACAAGAGAGGAGCGTTGATCGCACAACTCCTCTAATAGCACTCTTTTACTGCTTTGTTTCTAACTCAAAGCTTGCCTTCATTATTTTTCGACATTCGATTTATACGATCGAGTTGCCAACTGAGTGAAACGGCTGGAACCACTTCACTACCTCTCACTTCAACAACATATTTTCACAATTAAACCACAAAACGAACGATAAATCTATCAAAATGGCTCTCCTAAGAACTTTCCTCGCTTCCCTGCTCGTTGCAGCTCCCTTTGCTGCTGCTGCTCCTATCGATGTTGCCGAGACCCTGGGTGATATGGCCGACAGTATCGGAGGTGGCCTTGGAAATGAAGCCGACAAGAAGATGGGAATTAGCGCTTTCCTTCGACCTATGCTCAAGAACCCCGATGCTCAAAACATCATCGCTAACCGATATATCGTTGTGTACAATGACACCTTTGACGACGATGCGATCAGTGCCAAGGAGGCTTCCTTTGCTGCCGCTATCAAGAAGCGAAATCTCAACAAGCGAAGTTCAATCGGCGAGGCCATGTCTACTTCAATTCAGTCGTTCCGCATGAACAAGTGGCGTGCCATGTCTCTAGACGCCGACGATCTCATGGTTCAGGATCTTTACAATTCTGATGAGGTTGCATATATCGAGGCCGACCAGAAAGTTCAACTTAATG